TTGAGGTGGCCCAAGTTGAGACGATCAACTGTCAAAAGATTCAACCACAGACTTTTGGAGAATTACCGACTGTGTGAATTCAAAAAACCGACGGATGTCAAATCCATTTGTCTGAGGTTTCCTATGAAGCGAAAATTAGCATTCCAAAGAGTTCGGAAATGAACGTGCTTGTGCCCGAAGGTCCTGATGGTGATTTTATCGAGCTACGGATTCCCGGTCATGCCACACATGGTAATGCCGATCATTTCGAACAAGGGCATCTTTTCACAAATGCCAAGAATCTAATGGGTGGATTGGACGAGAGGACAGAATCTTTGTCTTTATTGTGCCAGGTATTTAATTTTATTTTATTTCTCTTGACAAAATAGAATTTAGCAGTTCTTTACTCCACTCTAGTCATCGTTGTCCTTTTTGCTGTCGGCGCAACACTGGTTACAGTGACAGCTACTCCACTTCTTGGTTCTCGATCTTTCGGTTTTCGGAGAAACAGAACGCTGATCAAACTGGAATTGGAGGTTAAGATGCTTTCTCATTTGTCATTTTGTCATTTGCCTTTAATTGGTAATGGCTTTTAATCAGATTCTTCTTGTTCTAACGATACTCTTTAATGCTTACCTTGAAACCAAGTTGAAGAGCAAAACTTGGATAAGAATTCGCAGTTTTGAAAAGACAATCCATACATCATATCCAAAAAATAAATAGGTGACAAGAGAACACATGTAATAAATGATGAAATTGATCACCGTCATACAAGAGTTGGTTACCATCTAAAAGAGTTCATTGACCTTGAAATTTTGGCATTAATAGACATCAATAGACATCAATAGACATCAATAGACATCAATAGACATCAATAGACATCAATAGACACCAATAGACATCAATAGACATCAATAGATAGCAATAGACATCAATAGTCATCAATAGACATCAATAGACATCAATAGACATCAATAGACACCAAAAGACACCTGTAGCATCAATAGACATTCAACTCGAGACACTCGACCATTTTTCTTTAGCTGAAACTGATTGGTTGTGGATTTTCATTGATAAAGTACCGTTTTCACTTTTCGATCCGTTACAAAGTCGAGTCCACATGTCAAGAAATATGGCATTGTGATGAGGAACTCATGAACGATTCGTTGAAAAGAATAGTCACAAAGAGCAATCTCAATCTGGGCAAAGGCTACTCGTAAAGCATAGGGAATCAAGAGTTGAATGATTGGCAGTTTCGTTGTATATCGGAAATAGGCTCCATCGAGGGACAAAACGAGGAATCGGCTGGAAAATGAGGCTTTTCTTTGTCTTTGAAGTCTTAAAAATGTGTTGGCTCGATGTCTGGACCGACCTAGAATAGCCGGGTCACGAGTATCTGGACCGACCTAGAATAGCCGGATCACGAGTATCTGGACCTATTGCTAGGACCAGCTCTAAACCAATTGGTACTGATCGATCTTGATCTTGCACCCGATCTTAAACTATCGCCTACTAAACTTACATCTATTAGATCAGTCAATAAGTCTTCATTTTTGAAGTCTATCTTTAATATGTTAGTCAATAAGGAATAAGCCTCTTCTTTATTTACAATTTTGCAAAAGCAAAACCATAGATCTTTCTGATATTTTAGTATAATAGTTTTGAAAGGGGTTACCATAATTGAGCTTAATTTTATCTTGATCTGATGGCTGAGCTTTGAGTAGGGAACTTTAGAAGAGTAATAACTTGATAATAATAATTTTAATTTCTTTAAAATGTCATGTGCCATCGGGTCGCCAAATGCATTTTAGCAAACGGCTTTTGTTTTCAAGAGCGTAAAATCATGTATCCACGTTTTAAAAAACAAAAGTCGTTTGCTAGAATGCATTTGGCGACCCGATGGCACATGTCTACCAGGAACCTACACAAACGGGGAAACCGGGCCTCTAGGACACTCTAGATGGTACAAGTAGTCTATAGGTGTACCTTAATGAATGAAAAGTGTACCTTAATGAAAAGTGTTTACCTTAATGAAATTAAACACTGACAATATTGGGCGACGTCGCACAGAGAATACATGCCGGTGAGAGTCCAGGAAACATCGTAAAAACTCCAACGCAGATCCTCGGGACATCTAAAGTCTTTTGTTTTGTTTTCCTCATATTCCTTACAAATCAAAGTAGGAACATATGTCGCTTAAGCACGAGCTGAGAGCATAGATGAACTTGTTGATGTTCTCGGCGGTGGCCAGAAGTCTAAACATGCATTTTTGAAGATTCTTTGACCAAAAGACAGACAACTGTGTGATAGAACATCAATAGGGCACAAATTATGTCTTTAATTTACCATTAATTTATCAATACTGTAATAGAACGTCATCTCCATAATGACGGGCGTACATTCGCGTAGTCTAACTTTGAACGTCCCATTCTCCGCGCCGTTTTATGCTACAGTGTTCGCTTGGGTGTCAAATGATAGCCCTTGAAATCTAGTATTTTTTGGTACCAAAAGTGTAGTTGGGAGAGGTCTAGAGGCTGAGAAATGATTTCTAAAAAGAAGTTAGACTAGGCGACTGTACGAGGCGTTCTATTAGAGTATTTACGGTATGTCCTATGCAGAAGGCTTGAAGGTGTACAACTTACAAAGTCACCAAGAAACAAAGTCCAATTTTAAAAAGATTATACCGTTTATGCCAAAGGAATCTTTTCAAAGAGCTTTTTTGACAGACTAATAATTCTTCCTAGTGTCGATAAGCATTGTAATAACCGTAAACATTTCTATTTACTGTCTGTTTATTTAAAAATACTGTCTGTTTTTCAAGAAGCAAAAAACTTAGCGGTGGCGGGACTCGAACCCGCCGCAAGAGACGGTATGAGTTCTGTAGCCGGGCACACTACCCTCTACGCCACCACAGGTCTATCTCCACCCCCGTGTGGAGAGTGCTTATTGGCTAGGAGGCGATTTTTCGAAAATGGTCAAAACTTTAAATGCTTTTCTCTCAGCAGGATTTTAATTTGGACAAAAACTGATATTTGAAATGCCCATATCCAACTGATGTTTGCACTCCGAGCTTATCGCCACGTCAGCGTCAGCCCTCAGCCGTCAGCCCTCAGCCGTCAAACGTCAGCCGTCAAACGTCAGAAAACGTCAAACGTGGATAATTTCCTCGTTAGAATCCCCGTACATTTCAAACGTTTGAAAGCCTCAATTATCCACAACTCTGACATTCAGTGCTCACCGAATCGGCCAGGATAGTCGATCGTTTGTTGCCGAGAAGTAAGCAGCTAATGGTGTTGTGACGAGGCTCAAAGCAATCACCTGAAGGAAGCTCTTACTATTCTATTAGCTGGATTTCATTTGTTAAACTTGCAAAATTTGTTTGGTTATTTATTTTCGGATATATTTGACTCACCGCTGATATCACCATCGGCATATAATGCTGGACGTAATCAGAAAAAGTCATTGAATAAATGTATGTGCAATTGTCATAGCTCGAATCGTTGAGAAGACTGCAATCTGTGTCGTTTAAATATGAAGAATCATTTGTAGCGTTCGTTGAGCTGTTGCCTGTTGCGTAGTCTACATCATAAGTGTAGTCAGGGTGAACTAGTGTCCAATCCTGATCATCGAGGATGTGTAACAAGACGTAGAAACCTGGAATTGTTAGGTTTTTGAATACCTAGGCAAAGCAAAGTACAAGTTGTTGAAAGATTTGGGCAAAAACTTAATAGATATTTGGAATGCCCATATCCAACTGGTGTTTGCACTCCGAGCTTATCCTGAAACGTCAGCCCCCACGGATGGCAATTTTAAGCTGATTTGAAAATTTGAAATTCAAAAACTGACCAATTAAACCGAAAGTGACCGACAAGGCCCAGATGAGATCTTGCCATTTAAGCCAAAAGTTCGTTTCTTGAATCGATGCAAACATTGAATGAAAACTAGATGTGACGAATGACCGAATGATAGAAAAATTGTCTGATTGAGTTGCTCATTTAGCGATCGGCGCTTTAACCGCGACAAATTTCATTACTCCAAGAGGCCATTCATCAAAATACATAAATTTTTGGGGATAAAGTTTCGTTATTTGATTGAGTTTTTATTTTATTTGATTGCGGACATATTTTTATAAAATTTCGGAGGAAAAGCTTATGCTTTTTATCCGGGAAATGTTTTTCAAAGACGATTTGATTCTGTAGTTGCATTGACTGTCAACTTTGGAAAAGTAAAATAAATTTATTGACTCTTTATGTATTCTTTAGACATTCAGAATAAGATTCTTTATCATACTCATCGATTCCTCGTAGGAGGATGAACACTGATCTTCATGTTCATCATGTTCATAAACTCACCACTGAATGTGTTGGATCATTGGTAATTTTTAAAAATAGTGATTTTCAACAATTTTTAACTGTATTTTGTTTTGAAAGTATTTATTTTGAAAATTTTAACAAAATTATTGAAAGTTTTGGGTTTAATCTGTTAAAAAAAACAGTTTTTGAACATTTGAATGTTTCTTTCAAAACACTATCGATATAAATAAAATAATAATGTATACCGGGGTTATTTTGCACACATTAAGACACATACACATTAAGACCTAGGGAATATTCTATGCGGATGGGACGATATAGGAGACGATGTAGAAGGAGAAGGCTACCCGCTTTATATGAGCTTGCGCCTTAGACAAGTCTACTCATTTGGATCCCTGGTTATCCCAATCCGGAGGGGCGGAAAGAGGCTCCGTCGAGTGATAAAACGAGAAATCGACTAGAATAAAGTACAGCTTAGGTATATCCGTACGATTACAAATCAAAAACCCAACTTACTCAAGTCTTACACTACCTTGAGTACTACCACTTACACTCAGGGATGACTCAGCTAGGCTCTAGGACCAATAGGCCAGGCCGGTCAGTCTTGCCAGTAGTGTGCAGGTCTTTACCTGATCCGGAAAAATTGCATTTGGAGTAACCCTGTACTATAATAAGAAAAAAAATCCATTTATTGTGAACTATTTTTCAGTGTTGATCATCGAGAATGTGCATTAGAGCTTGCTGAAAAGGTGAATTGGAAAAATATCTTAATCCTTAGACAGTTTTCTAAACAAATTTTTTAGTTAAGAACAATTCTTGCGACGATTTTTCTTAAAAATGAAATCTTTTACAAGCAGTTGGAACAAAGACATTTTGTTGACAGCCTTTCACCCTTTCCCTTTCCCCTTTCCTCATGTGCCCCTTTTCCCGGCCGCAACGCATGGCCGCATTAGCTCAGTTGGTAGAGCGTCAGACTTTTAATCTGAATGTCAGGGGTTCGAGCCCCCTATGCGGCTAATCACTTTTTGCTTTTTGTTTTTATGTTTGGAAATGTTTGGGATGAGTATTTCTACAGTTTTCAGTGTAATAATAGCCGTTAAAATTGATTTTGAAGCGCTGAACAGACGTCTAAAGTAAAAAAACAGACGTTTAAATGCTAATTTCAGCTAAATTAGAAGAGAAATCATTGCGTTTTCACATTCTTTTGTTAAAATTTTACAAAAACAGACTTGTTATTAAACAAATTTTAGGGCTGTTATCGTTTTTGTTTTCAAAACAGCTTGCTGAACGCTTGTGGATGTGGGGATCTGGGATTTCCAGTGCCGAAAGGGAAAAAGCAAAAGGAAAAGGCGTTTAGCAATCAATCAAGTACAGGAAAAACTTATTCAGTTCAGAAAAAGTTCAGAAAAGATTTTTAGGAAAATGTTTGGAAGATTCTTGCGTTTTGTATGAATGCATAGAAGCTAAATCACATGAAATAGCTGCCTGGTTCTAGATTTAATCTATTTTAATAGATCTCATTGTTCCTTTTCTACAGAATGAAAATGGTTACGTGCACGTACATTGTCAACCTCGTAGTCATTGGTACGATTTCGGCATTTGCAGGGTTGGGGTGAAGAGGCTGGTTGCTCATCAGTGTCGTCCAGATACGCATTGCAGTAGCCATCGGAGATACAAGATGGGCAGAGATGATCGTACCAGATACTGAAAAGTTTTACTTAAATTTATTGTCTTGCTAGGCGCTTGCTAGGTTCTTGCTAGGTTGCTAGGTTCTTCCTTGGCTCTTCATAGCCCTCTTTTCCCGGTGGGCTACTGATGGCCGCATTAGCTCAGTTGGTAGAGCGTCAGACTTTTACGGAAGAAAGAAATCTGAATGTCAGGGGTTCGAGCCCCCTATGCGGCTAATCACTTTTTACTTTCTGTTCTTATTTTTGAAAATGTTTGGGATGAGTATTTCTACGGTTTTCAATGTAATATAGCCGTTAAAATTGATTTTGAAGCGCTGAACAGACGTCTAAAAGAAGTAAAGAAGCAGACGTTTAAATGCTAATTTCAGCTAAATTAGAAGAAAAATCGTTGCGTTTTAACATTCTTTTGTTAAAAGTTAGATTTAATCCATTTTAATAGATCTCATTGTTCCTTTTGAAATTGTTCTATTGCCCTAATCTCTACTTAAGATTTAACCCATTGAAAGATATGATTTTGTGTTTAGTTTAACTTGACTACGGTAGCTTTCTAAAATAGATGTCTTTTAGGTCTCCTTTTTGGGCGGAACGCTCAAACAAACGAGTCTTAAAAATAAAGTAATATATCTATTTTGAGTTTTTGAGAAACAATTTTAATGCACGTGAATTTTAGAATGCCAATGCCATTCAATGAATTTTAGAATCCGAATCTTTTGCATTTGGTGCTTTGCTTGCCTGGTACTTGGCATAGTCTTTTTGAAATTCTGATATGAATTCTGATATGAATCCTGATATGAAAGCAATTCCAACACCTCACCCGCTTTGCCACTCATCGATTTTCCTGTCATTTCATGATTGTTACGAAACGAGGTAATGTCAGCTCCGAGCCAAACTGATATTTTAGTTACTATTGTTATTATTGAATGATTTGTCCATTCTTATGCAAATGTGTTCTCTCCTGTGCTTATCCCTTTTATTGCTGACGAGGGAACTACAACTACTTACCACCTCAGATCGACTCCAAAATTACAGGGGGGAAAGATCATCACAAAAGAAGAATTTTCTGAAATTTTTAGCTGCTAAATGCCAGAATTAACTGAAATATAAGGTTTCAAAGTTCAAAGTTCAAAGTAGCTTAAACTTAAACATTTTTGGGACTTGCACGGCACTCTTTAAAGGGAACTCTCACAGGCACTCTCACAGTGGCCGAGTGGCCGAGTGGTTAGGAGCGCGACCTGGTAGTCCGAGTGTCGCTGGTTCGGCTCCACCCCAAAAGTTTTTCTTTTTTTGCAAAACCACATAATGTGCGTTCTCTATCGAATTGCGTAATCGTCCTTCAATTGGGACACTATCCCTGTACCTGTACATAAAATCTCCGTCTTGGGCTTTTATGTATCTTTCAACGTTTCAAGATGTTTCGTGCCTCGAAAGTGCTGAAGATGCTCGTCGATGAATTTGGACTCAACTCTGATAGCTCTGCTCCGACTCGACAAGAAGTAAAGCTGAAGGGTGTCTTCTCTCGTCTTCTCCACGAAGCCGAGTCAATGCAAATTGTCGTGGAGGAAGAAGATGAAACAATGGAATGTGAACAAACAGACGACTTACCTGATGAATGGGACAGCGATGAAGATTGGCAACCGACTATGCCCACCACTCCAAATGCCTACACCAATGGGTTGAGAATCGGCGATCGAATTGTTGAGAAGACCCAATTGGACAAGGCATTGGAGTTCTACCGTGGGGCTACGACTGGTGTACGAACGCTCGCTTCCATCCGGAACCAATTCCGATGGATACAAGACCGTAACCATCTACGAAAGCTACTCGACTATGAAAAGACGAAGAACGCAACATGCTTGGCAATAAATCGAAGACGATTGATCGAGCTGCTGAAACAAGAAGTTCAAGTACGATTCCAAGAAGGCCATGAACTTCACGACATCGACATCAGAGTGGCTGCTTTGCGTTTGAACAGAGACTATTCTTTGGTGTCCACGTTCAAAGCATCACCACAATGGATCAACAACTTCAAGAGGATTGCTGGAATCGTCTCCCGCCGCGTTACCAACTGGACATCGATCAAGAACTTCCGGGCAAAGGCGGACATAGAAGGTGAGGCCAACAACTTTGTGAATAATGTGAGGGCCGACCTTCAAGCAAACGTCGTCCCACGCTCCTGTCTTGCCAATGCCGATCAATCAGGCTTTTTGAAAGAACAGCACTCATCTCGATCCCTAGCCTACCATGGAGAGAAGAAAGTCATCCGCGTCGTTCAAAGTGTGTCGGCAACATCTCACTCGTTTACCATGATGCCCCTGATCTACGCGGATGGACGACTCGGTGACAAACTCTTTATCGTGATGCAGGAGAAAGATAGTCGTTTTCCACAACGAGGGATCTTTCAAACCGACAACTTGATGGTGGAGGCAGCCAAGTCCCATATCATGACCAAGGAGCTGATGCTCAAGTGGTTCCGGGATATCGTCTGCTGTCCAGCTATGCCATCTAAACTGATGCTTCTCGTCGACTCCTGGACTTCATTTCGTGATCAAGCCTCTATTCAAGCAACGGTCCCAGCTGGCAAGGAGCTCATTTTGAAACGCATTCCACCTGGAGCGACGTCGCAGATTCAACCGTTGGATGTTCATTTCTTCCGGCTCTTCAAATCGTTTGTGAAAAAGTTGACCGCACACGTCATTGCCTCCAAAATCGACTTCCAAGTGAGCCAACGCGATTCTATCCTGAAGATGATCAGTCAGATCTACCACCAGTTCCGGGCGCCACGTTTTGTCCCATGTATGCTCGAAGCCTGGAAAAGCGCTCATTATATTGATGATGTACTTCCTCATTATGTGACACCAGCAACTTTTTGCTGCCCAGGAGATTTGATTGGTACATGTAATAAGATAAATTGCGATAATATGACGTACATTCGTTGTGCTTATTGTCTGAATATATTCTGCTTCCTTCATTTTGTCGAATCTTTCCACCGTTGTTGAATTGTTTGTTGTTTATTAGTTTTAAATAAAGTTTTGTTATCCTCACCTTTTATGGTAAAAAAAAAATCAGAATAAACTTTGAAAAGCGAAACAAATAGAACGCACATTATGTGGTTTTGCAAAAAAAGAAAAACTTTTGGGGTGGAGCCGAACCAGCGACACTCGGACTACCAGGTCGCGCTCCTAACCACTCGGCCACTCGGCCACTGTGAGAGTGCCTGTGAGAGTTCCCTTTAAAGAGTGCCGTGCAAGTCCCAAAAATGTTTAAGTTTAAGCTACTTTGAACTTTGAACTTTGAAACCTTATATTTCAGTTAATTCTGGCATTTAGCAGCTAAAAATTTCAGAAAATTCTTCTTTTGTGATGATCTTTCCCCCCTGTAATTTTGGAGTCGATCTGAGGTGGTAAGTAGTTGTAGTTCCCTCGTGAGAAGGGGCGGTCCTTAGGATTGCCTAGGAGGACAAGTGAGGCTCTCATTTGGAGTCCCCCTCTTCCCCTTACACTCATTTGTAATCTATTGTAAGCACAGGGGAGAACACATTTGCATAAGAATAGACAAATCATTCAATAATAACAATAGTAACTAAAATATCAGTTTGGCTCGGAGCTGACAGTAACAAGTGTCAGAAACAGAATTAAATAGCTTTATTCTAGATGAATTCAATTTTGTCACCAAGCAGTGACTTTTAGACTTGATGTTTCTTGTCGGGTGGACGATCCTTGGAAAATCTTCCTGAAGCTTGTCGATTTGATCAGCATGCGAATCATTTCCCCACGCATTGTCGTATTCAAAGCCAAACCGATGAAAGTTTCGCTTAACGTTGAGAAATCGGAGACAAGATTCAACTACAAAAAAAATCGATAACCGTAAAACGTATTCGATAATTACTTACCCCGAATGCAACCGTTGATAGATCAAATATTTTATACGCGTATCTCTAAATTAAACGACTTAAACCGAATACAGGATGACCAGAAACAACCCGTCCGTTCTAGGTCCGTTCTAGGACCATATTTCTGTTATTTGTAGACCAAAACGATTAATTCCTTTTTTTAAATGAAAATTCACATCATTTTCTGTATATGTTCAAAATTTCATGACCATAATTTTTTATGAACATTCAAAAATGGTTGGTCAAAAAATAAAGAGCTTGGGATTTTTGAAAAAAAAACCCCACAAAATAATTTTTTCTTTGCATTTTTTTTCGAAAGCTAAGCTTTTGCTATGTTTAAGTAGATTCAATTGAAAAAAACATCAAATTCGCTAATATTTTCTATAATATCATCGATAAAGAAACTCTAAATTTGAATTCCGGCTAATTTTTGACCAGCCATTTTTGAGCGTTCATAAAAAATTACCCATCAATGCTATAGTCATGAAATCTTGAACATATACAGAAAATGATGTGGATTTTCATCTAAATAAAAGAAATTCCCGTAAATGCTGTATTAGAATGACATGTGGTTCGATTTTTCAACCCCTCAAAATCGGCCGGTCCAAAAATAGGTAAGGGGGGACCACATGAATCAAAAATTTAGAATTCGTTAAAAACTATTTAAAACGATGGCCCTTTGTCCAAAACGTACAAAAAAACACGTTTAAAAGTGAAACTATTTTCCCCCGCGACCCCCTTTGAATCTTCAAGAAAAAAAATCCATGTATCCATTTTTCCAACAAATTTTTCCAGTCCATTTTTTCAAAAGATTGTTTTTCTATTTTTACAAAAATAGCGCTTTTAAATTTCACTGCCAATAAAACATTAGTAGGTTTTAGGTTTAGATCTATTCATTATTCATCAATTCATTATCCGTAGGATCCCCACAAGAGGATCTAAAGTCAAGATTTCGAAGGCGATTCTAATCATTCTAATACAGCATTTACGGTCATCGTTTTGGCTTACAAATATAAACAAATACAAAACAGAAATATTAGCCTAGAAAAAAAGGAACAGACTATTTCTGATCATCGTGTTAAGGAAAATCTTTTTCTATACCAAAAACAACATCAGAAGGAATTGAATGATGAGAGTGAAAAGACAAATCAAGAAGAGATTCCACTCGATTGTCCCCATTGCCTTTTTACTGGAAACGATTTTTTGGTACTCTCCCATTATGCCCACACAGCATCAATTCCGTTATACCCACACAGCATCCATCCCACAGCATCAATCCCATCAATCCCATTAGGCGATCCCCTAACCTAGAACCAAGGACTGAAATTCGTCTGCGCAATTTTTCTCTCACTTTCAACCAATAAAGGTACTCTCCCATTATACCATTAAATGTGGATTTTAAAAAATTAGCATGCCAAAAATTAGCATGTATCCGGATGCTGTTTTTCCCAAGGAAGAAACGAATATTTTTCTATTCTTATTTTCTACCGCCGCCGGGTTTAATGTTTTCTTTACCCACCACAGAGGATATGAATTGTGGATTGTAGTCAGAAAAGCTTTTTTAGAAACCTGCCATTTGTGGGGGTATAATGGGATTGATGCTGTGGGGGTAAAATGGGATTGATGCTGTGGGAGTATAGTGGGATTGATGCCGTGGGGGTGATTGGGATTGATGCTGTGGGGGTAAAATGGGATTGATGCTGTGGGAGTATAGTGGGATTGATGATGTGGGAGTATAATGGAAAAGTACCGATTTTTAAAAGATGAATTCTAGAATGGTAAAAGGAAGTGTTTTTGTTGTGAATGAGATCATTAAAGCAAATCTTCGCTTACGAATTTACGAATACGAAGATGCAGAAAACCCTTTGCTATTCTGAAAAAAATCCAAACAACAAACAAATCTGAAACAAAATCATCCCCAATGATAAAGTTAAAGCGGGTCACCTTCCCAACATAAAAAGCAGCTGGGGTACGATAGCTTTTCTTTGAATCCATCTTTTATCAAAAAAAGCAGTCAAGGTCTGATTCCCTTTTCTAAGTACATCTTCTGCCAAAAATTCCAACATTTTTTTTGTCTAATTTTTTAAAATCTGAATCCGATACCTTTTTCGTTTCCATCTCAAATGAAGCAAAGCGAAAAAGATCACGATATTGATTCCAAGCGACGCAAACGGATACACAAAGCTCATCACTGGAACAGTTGAAATCGCAAAAGCTGTTTGCTAAAAATGAAATTTCAGTATTTCTTCTTAAATATTGAGAAAACATACCGCCGCCGCTGCAGGTCCTTGCACAATATAACCATTAAATTCCATGAAAATCTTTCCCGTATAGAAAAGATATTGATAGCACAAGGAATTACCAACAAGAACTATTAAAAAACAGACACAATTAATATTCCGGTTTTTCCAAATCTGAAAATTTGAGAGTTTAGTGTTTAAAGAAATGTCCTGCAGAAATTTTTGATACAACTGTATTAAAAAGTTCTTGTCTTAGCATTACTTTATATGTTTAAATCAAGACTTTCAGCCTTTTGCACCTTATCGTACAAACTTCAGTTAACCAACCACAATTTACCCGATAAAATGTTAATCTCTTATATTAGGTTGTCCGGAAATAAATGAGCGTTTTGTATTGTTTATTATTTGGATACATCTTTCTCAATAAAGTATGCTCTGTACCTTGTAATGTTATATACCATTAGAAAGCTGAGACTACAACGCTCGCCCGCACGTCGCACTACCTGCAAAAGCTGAACGAACTGAGCTACGAAACTTCGCCATATTCGCCATATTCGCCGGACCTTTCGTCTACCGACTACCACTTTTTCAAGCACCTCGACAACTTTCTGCTTCAAAACTTCAAAAGGAGAAATGCTTCAAAACTCCAGACGCCTTCGCCGACTTTATCGCCACCAGAAGCCCGGACTTCTATGCTACCGGCATAAATAAACTTGTTTCTCGTTGGCAAAAATGCGTTAATTACAATGTTTCTTATTTCGATTAATAAGGTTTTGTTTGGATCAAGCTATGGTATTTTAAATATTCAAGTTAAAAACGCTCATTTATTTCCGGACAACCTAATATTTCCTATTCTCGCTCTTTTCATGTTAAATTCTCTTGTGTTTGATGTTCGGTGAACCCAACTGAATATCTTTTTCCTTTGTATCTGAAGATCTTTGTCCTCTCTTGTCTCTATTTAAATTCTCCCCGCAAAAAAATTCTTTAGTTGGTAAAGTGGTGCAAAGTGGTTCGCAGATGTGATTCGATCACTGACTAAGCCTCGCATCGCCACAGCTCATTATTGATTCACTCTTTCTTCACACACCTTCCCTATTGTTTTGTTTTCTTTCTAATAAAGACCTGTTTTATAAACACCGATTAACATGTACAAACCTAAAAACTGAGAATTGAAGCCCAAATTTAGTTAGAAAACAGCTAAAACTGGAAGCATGCCCGAGACTGGTCGGATTGGGCTCATTTGAGGGTCTGTAAAATCAAAAACAAAACTCCAATCAAAGATCTTTTAATACAGAAATGTAGGTAAGAATTTAGGCTTCATTTCACTATATAACACTTAGGGTTTTTGAAGTGATTGCAGCGTTTGGCATGCAATCTGATGAAAAGGTGAAGCCGTAATTTTGGCTCACCCTGTATGTTTGATTCTTGGATCGTCACCGCACTCTTCCGAAGCCCGGCCTGTAACCCTATAGGAACTCTAAAGGGCAAAATATGTATGGATGTGCATTCAAAGCTTCAATTGAGTCACGGGAACAGGGAGCTGGCGACCCAACTACCCGTTATTTGTACTTTTACCTCAACCCAACGGATTACTTGCACGAATTCAATAATGAGGCTAAAATGCGGAAGGATTCGAGCAAAATGGACCAAGATTTGTCCCAAACTGCCACAATTTAACTGATTTAATTTGTATTTAACACTGACTTAACAGTGAGGAAATGAACAAATTGAGAAACAACAAGATTGGGGGAGGGAAAGGCATTCAGACGAGATAACAATTGAGCGAAGTCGAGTTTTTGCTCAATAATGATACTTGATAGAGCGAAGTTCCGTAGTCGTTTCACGTTTTTCTTACTTTGGAACTACTTTTGGATGTAAATTTGTAGTCTTGAATGGAAATCGCAACGGTGGTGCCGAATATTTAGCACAACTACTATGCTTTGACAGGCTTGAGCTTTGAGATGCTTTGACAGGCTTGAGCTTTGAGATGCTTTGACAGGCTTGAGCTTTGAGATGCTTTGACAGGCTTGAGCTTTGAGATGCTTTGACAGGCTTGACAGGCTGTAGGAAATGATTTAAAAAGAGGCTAACTCGATGGAAGATCAACAGAAATGTTGTTTATGTTTAAAAATGTTTAAGAATGTTTAGAAATGTTTAGAAATGTATAAAAACTGTTTTCTATCACTAGATACATAACAGCAAACGTTTTTAGACGTGCGTAAGTCCAGGGGATGGGTAATTTTTCACTTTTATAGTGCAAAAGGTGGTTTGAAAGGCTAAACCAGAGTTTTTTTTGCTCAATAATGATACTTGATTGAGAAGCTCACTTACTCGATGATGAGAAAACGGCATTAAAACACTAGTGAATCGATTGAGATGCATTAACAAAAGGGACATGTTCTGGATGTGAAATGCGGCCACTTGGAACATGAAAAACACGCGAAATGGCGGAAATGTGTCCTCGACATCGGCAAAAAACGGAGCCAACGCTCGCAACGCCGGCAATTTCACTGTCGGATATGTGTTAATATAGGTGAAGAGATACTAAAGTTAGCTTTAGAAATTTTTGATTTATTTTAAAGTTTAAAACTGACCACGCACAAAACGAATAAATAAACCCGATAGAAAGACGCTTGTAGAAGGGTTTTACTCTTGAAAATGCATATAATGAGTAAAAGATTGAGAATCGCTGACGGAATTCCGTAGATACAGTAGATGATGAATTGAAATTCCATCAAAATTTTTGAGAGAATGAGAATCAATGGGGTTCTGATACATTTGAATAGGTCGAGACAGCTGGAAATGTTTTTTTTGGGTTGACAAGGTAGTGATTAGAGGCAAATTTAGACACTAATCACCTGGGAAGTCTTTGGGGAATCTGGAAATGGGAAATGAGATGAGAAATTAATGAGAAATACAGTCTGTTTTGAATTGTTTTTAACAATTTTCATTGGACCGAATAGTTGTTGAAGTAGACAGGGTGCGTCACAATTGTCGCAACAAGATAAAGTTCTGATTCCAAGGCCGACAAGAGCGAAAAAATAAAATTTTAACTGAAAAACATTTATTGTACATTAACAATTATAATTGAACTATCAAATTCGAATCGGCCACCATAATCGACCATGCATTTGAGCAGGCTCGCAGGCATTTCGGAAAGGCGTCAACGGTGGGACCAAATAGGCTGCATCGAGCTCTTTCCACGCTTTCAATAGTGATTTCTTCAAGCTTTTGATGTTTTTGTGGGCCTTTGAACAAGCTTTGGCTTCTAGAACCGACCACACTGAAAAACTATTGGGTTGAGGTCTGGAGAGCTAGGTGGTCACTCAGAAAAAGAAATGAAGTCCGGGAAGTTGTTTTGGCAGAACTCTTGGACTTTCTTGGATTTGTGGGCCGCTGCGCCATCTTGCTGATAAGTCCAAATGCAATTTCCAAAATGTTAACGGGCCCAGGGCAAGAGTTCATCCTTGAGAAGAGTCAGGTAGCATTAACTACCTTATTACCTTGCTACGGCGCGTAATACCTTGTTGCGACAATTATGGCGGACCCTTTATGGAAATGAAACAGATTTGATAAATGTTTTGAGCTTTGGAGCATTTTAGCATTGGGGCTTTAGTCAATCGCTCCTCAGTGATTACTCATTTTTCGAATTTGCATTTTGTAATCGAAATTGTAATTCTTGATGCTTGTGGCAGAAAAGTCTCATTTTCACATTAGCAAAAACGCAAATTAATGCAATATTCTTATTCTCTTTTGTTGGAATGTTGAAATCTTTGTGTCATTCTTTTCAAGACCAATTCGATTAGCTAAAGAGATTCTAAACAATTGATTGGCTACAATTTAGGCAACTAGGAAATTGGCTTGAAATTGATTACATCCCTTTTTGCAATCTCTATTCCAGATTTCTTAACATTGACGGTTTAGCGGCTCGCAAATTGCTTGAGCTTGTCGAGCTTGATTTTGTGAGTCGAGAAGTTAAATATTAAATGCCTGGGACCATTCACATTTAAGCTTCATATTGGGCTCGAATCCTTGTTTTAAAAGGAGCATTCTAGACCACATCCGGTGCTTGAATGTACTTGGTGCACCCTACAGGTACCAGAATCGAATCAATTTGCAAATCCTTTAGAAATTTCCATGTAACTTCGATCTTGTGAGCCGAGAAGTTAAATATTAAATGAAAAATAGTGACGACTCTCGACTCGGTTAACGAGCGTCGAGTCGAGTCAGGTCGTCAAGGACCTCTGGTTCTAGGTCGGTTAAAGTACGTTGTTGCAATCAATCAAGAGTTAGTTTTGGAGTGAAACCGAGAACAAATGTGATGTTGGTCGTTTGTGGAAGAACTTTTATTAGATCCAACAAAATCTAGGCTGTGATACTTGTCCCCATTTCAACTCTAAGATTCCCATTGCAAAACCAATGTGCTAGTAGGTAACAATTAATGGCCCTAACAAGTTCTGCTTCTCATTCACAATAATTATTTATCTATTTTTGTTTTGCCCACAAAGTCAAACCAATTTATTAATCCCAATCTAATGAGCAATTTCATAAAAGTCCAGCCGAGGCGTGCAATATAGCGTCTTTCATATTGATTCGTATAAAACCTGAAGAATCAAATTTGTACCAATCTTGGTTAGACTAAAATATATTTTGTGTACCAATCCTACTAAAAATTACCATTCTCTCCCCAGCTTTTCCCCCACGAGTTCGCGTATAGCCAATATTCTTTTCCATCTTGTTCACCCCATCCCAACAATTTCATACAATGACCATAAATGGCATTGGAGAAAGTTCCACTTGAGTAGATTCCTGAAATCGTTTTTCAAAATTAGTTTTGAGGCTCTGGAAAGGCAAAAACTAGACACTAGCTTGGTCTAATTCTAGCAAAGTCTAAGACTTGGCTTCTGCTACATTCCATAATGCTACAACCTGGCTTATGTGCTGGTTGGAATCCCCATGCTGAACTCACCGTATTCATAGTGTTGAAACTGTTCATGGACGGTCATACAGGCTTGAATGGGGCCAAAGTGGTAGATCTCGCGTTTGATCAGCTCTTCGCTATCTAAAAATAAATG